CGCAATCAAAGTTGCTAAAAATAATAGGTAAGAAATCGAGCAAATACAATAGGGACCTCCAGCGGTCGCTGGCTCGGTCCCTAATTACTCTCATTGGCTTTTTCTTCACGGGACTTTTGTTGCGCAGTGGCTGTACTGGCTGCAACATGCATGAAAGCTGATGTAAAACAAAGAATCGGATCGGATCAATAAAGGTGAATACAGCTCAGTTAAAAAATGTCTTGATCGGTGCCAATACCGATCACTGAGATCGCCTAATTAAACCAATCCGAAAAATCACTTGAACAAACACTTGAACATACATTAACGTGATAAGAACTATCTAAAATACTACTATTATTATTATAAACTAATAATTGGATGGATTGCTATTACATTTTCGAATAGAGTCAACTTTATTGCCACATATAATATATAGTATATCGCCTGGGGACCAACTTGATCAAGGGCACCGACTGGACAGATATTCATGGTCTTCAGAGGAACAATCTTAATGATCTGTTAGCACCAACATGAGATGAATGTGGAGTAAAATGTCTCAACAACTTACTGTTGGATGGATTTCCATCAAATTTGGTCACATATTCATGTTCTCCACAGGATGGAATGTAACTTTGTTGATCCTCGGACTTATCATCTAGCGCCATCATCAAGTCAACATTTCAATTTGTCCATGATTTTCCTACAACCAGCCTCAGCTGTACTCTGAAGCACTAATGGCAGTTTTGACCATACCAGTGTGTGATGTGATTATAGATAATATTTAGTGCCACCAGTTATTACTGGAAGGATTCCTACTGTGCAGCACGTGCTGCCGTTTTTTTCTACTGCAGACTGTTTACTTCTGCCTCAGGCCATGAAAAGCTGTTCTTTTTTTCTCACTGGGAAGAGGTCGTCAACTCCCATCAACCTATGCTCACAAAAATAACAACGCTGGAAAACATGTGAGCAGGGTGAAATGAAAAAAATACTTCTGGTTATCTGGGTCAGTTTCATAAAAGATTTAATATCAAGTTTGCCCCAAGGTTGTAGTCTTCACCCAGCATTATTTTGAAACGTGGTGATACTTAATGATGAGCCACTGATGTGAAGTTTTCACCATGATTTCATCTGATTTGATTTTATTGGACTGTGTGTGTGTTTTGCAGATGCCTACACAGATGAAGACCTGATGCTGTACTGGAAGAGCGGAGATGAGTCCCTCAGCACTGACGATCGCATCTCCTTATCACAGTTCCTCATCCAGAAGTTCCACACCACATCTCGCCTGGCCTTCTACAGCAGCACAGGTACACACGTGCACACACACACACACACGTACACATCCACATACACATTCAGACTGGCCATTAGGCGCACCAGAAGCATTCTCTCTCCTTTTTTATTCTTAGCTTCCTCCGTCAATGTCCTCTTAGGTCTTCACCTCTGCCATTAGTTATGTCCATAGTAGCTGCTGAGCCAGGTTACATTGCCTGCTCACGCAGGTCCAGTTCTTGCAAGACACCAGCACTGCTCTCTCCATAATCATTTCACCCCCCACCTCGTCCCAGGACTGAAAACGTCACATCAGAGGGAACATTTTCTCCATAAAATATGATCCAGTTTCAGCAATATCAGTGACATAGTTAGTGGTGTGCCATAAACTGTTTGTAAAAAAAAAAAGTTACATAGTGGAAGAACAGGTGTACAGAGGAACCATTTATCTTATTACAACTCAGTGTAGCATCAAAATTATGGTGAAGCAGTTTTATTTTTTTTTTAAGATAGAAAAGTTGCATAATGTTGCTTTAATAAAGAAAATAATATATAGACCACAGCTGCCCTCAGCACATCACAATTATGTTTCCTCGGTTGATTCTGTGTTTTCAGAAACACATAATCATGCTCTGTAGAAAAGCAGGAGATGTGTATGCATGGAAATAATGTGAAGAATAGTTCAGCGGAAAAACAACAAATGCACAGTTTCCCATAAGACACTTTAAATTACTGTATGAATACTATAATTCTGGAATGTACCATAAGCCTGATGGATAAAAACTACTATTTTATACGGAGATATAAACTCCACTGTCAGCCAGTGGAAAGCCCCTGGGCTGAGGCAGGAATACAAAGAATGAAACAGAGATTCATCACTTACAAATGATATAACCATACAGAGCTATACACACATCAGTCTGGTCGGATATAACTCAATATTCTGCTTTTTTATGAAGGAGACATCCAGTTACCAGGGCTTATCATAGCATCATCCAACTTTCTGTTTTGGCAAACGTAGTGTCTCAGGTTTTATCCGTGAAACACAATGCCGTGCAAATGCTGTTGTGTGACATTAATTAATCAACTATATGACCATGTATAAGGTGAGATACGTGATAATTATTACTAAAAGAGCGTCAGTAAGATTTCACCAAATCAGTGTTTTGATACAGTATTTAATAATCGCCTTGATGACATCAGATTTTATTCAATATGTTTAAAGTTTTATTCCACATATATACACACATATATATCTGTGCCTCGTGGGATGGAGTATTAATGACTGGGGGGGGGTGGATTCATTTAGACTAACGATACTCCTCGGGGACAACCAGGTCCTCAGTAAGACAAAGTAATCAGTATCATTAATCTGATATTAATTCATTCACTAAAACAGCTTTAGAGGACAGAAGACACTGATATATTAACAGTGACACTTTCTCTTTATCTTGTGCACTGAAGTAGTGTTTAATTTTATTAGATTTCATGTTTAACTCCTCTTGTTTTTATTTCTTTAAATATTTAGGTAGGTCGGGGGACAGACAAGTCTACTATGGGGTTTTAGGTGGGTGAATGTACTAGTGGAAGCGCAGAGAAGTGGGTAAGACAGCAACTGCTTCCTGGGTCCCACCTGGACTGTCAGGATTTAGAAATAAACTTCCCAATCCTGGAAGAGAGAGGCTCCATCAAAGTGGATGGATGCCGATCTCTCCTAACAGACCAGTTCCCAAAAAAGGCTGCCAATTATCAATGAAGCCACATTGTTTTCTGGACACACCCTCGACAGCCAGCGGTGGAATGACGACATGCGTATACATGTCATCACTGGCACATGTGGGCAGGGCCAGAGAAAACTCGTGGTCCGACATTGTTTTGGCATAATTACACACCGATCCACATTGAATCTTGTGACCTCCGATTGCTAATCGCGTTCACTTCCGCGAGTGAATAAACAATCTTATTGTATTTACGTTTATCTTTAGCCAGCAGTTTTAAATAGGATTCAACATCGCCCCTCTGGCTCAGGGATACATTTACTATGCCGCTGGCTCGCTAACTTCACCGTTTCTG